AAAATTCTCACACAGTAAATAAATTTTCATAGTTAGAGTTGTACGGAGAAAACTCATCCATGGAGTAGGTGACAAATAAACTCTGTTGACTCTTCATTTTGCCTGGGAGCTTTCCTCAGGGTTTTATTATCAAATACAAAAAAAAATTGCTTTGACTGTATGACTTTGGCTCAGTCCATTGTGAGAGTCAAATTTCTCAGGCATCCTTCTGAATACCATCTATGCTCTCTACCATGAATTCCTGTTTCCTACCATAAAAAAAATTCCAAACAGAGATACATGCATGTACACAAGCACCTGGTGTCAATTTGACAATTATACAAACAGATAAATGAGTTCACAAGATTAATCATTCAAATTCTAATAACGCTTTGGAGGTTTGACAACTCATTCTGATCTGGGTCCTGAGACGTACATGTTGTTCTCTATTGCATTGACTTGGAATTGAACACTTGGCATCTTGGAATGTGGAACTGGGTGAGGAAGTGCTGGTGACCAGGTTCGGAGCCTGGACTTCTGGCAGCGGTGATGCCCGAAGCGGGGAATTGTGGCGGCAACATGCCGGACCCTGGACTCCTGGTGGTGGCAGTGCCCGGAGTGGGGACTCCTGGCCATGGTGGGCCCAAAGCCTGGACTCTTGGCAGTGGCAATGCCTGGAGTGGGGACTCCTGGCCGTGGTAGGCCTGGAGCCTGGACTGTTGGCGGTGGCAGCGAGGCGGCAACAGCTGAGCCGGGGTCTCCTGGGGCATCAGCGTTGTCATTGCTGCTCCTGGAGTGGGTCACCTTGAGACCCGCCTTGCAGAAGCCCTGCAACCGTACTTGAGACCCCAATTTGAACAGGAGATGAGCTCTTATTTAAGTAATTTCTTTTTATCTTTATTGTAACTCAAAATGGTGCAAGATTGTGGCGACAAAATACTTTTCATTGCATCTACATGATATATGTGATAGTAAATCATTCATTCATTCATTACTTGATAGTTCGGTTGTCTTGCTGTTACATGTTGTCATTCAACCACACTGCAGAACCATCACTGCCAGAGTGTTCTTCCTCACTCTCTTTGTGTATGGCGAGCATTCAGCACATTGGTCTGAGCAGACTTCTTTTTATTTGCAATGTTTCACCACGATCGAGAATTACATTGTATGATCTGGGCTGGTTGCATATTCTGGAAGTCTTTCTGGTGTCCAATCATTTGGATTTAGATTTCTGACTAACATTCCCTGCCCAGTACACAGCTTTGGTCATTCTTTACTTGCTTGTTCATTCTTCATCAAAAACAGAGGGGAATGAAAGATGCAGAGTGACCTATGCCTCAAACAGCCTTACAAGGCTTTTGTGTCAAGGCTGATAATCTGTTGTGGTGGTGTAGCACAAAAATTAAGCAGTGAAATGTGGAAGTCTTGCTTTGTTGCTCGACACTTCATAATCACAGGTTTGATTATATGGTTCATATGTTTTGCGAGATAGTTTGAACATGGATAGTTGTGGGTGATGGTATGATGTGGTTTACTCTCTGCTTAATACAAATCTTGAAACTGTCTGTCAATGTATTAAAGTTCATTGTCAGACACTAATTGCTCCGGTATACTGTATAATCTCAAAACAGAGCTCATTACATCAATGATGTTTGCACTTACAAGAATGAAATCTCCCCCAGGCACTGTGAAGAGATTCGTTGTTAATTTTGTCCAACGAGTGGATGGCATATCATGTGGATGTGGAAGCTACCTCTATTGCTGGGGTTGTTTGGTTGGGCATCCTTCACATGCATTTGCAAGTTATTGAATATCCTGATTTGTTCCTAGCCAATTCATATCCAAGCCGTCTTGTGGTTTGATACCCATGTGGTCTTGGTGTAACATGGTACATATCATGTTAGCGTTATACTTCTGTTATCTGGACTTGTTTGCCCTCAAATATCACTTGTGATATGTCATTTGCACTTCTGGATAGCCAACATGAATGAATTTTCTGTGACACCTCTTGCTGATTACAACTGTTCACACTAGCTCTGGCCAAAGTGTAGCAGATCAAGCACAGGAACATCTTCAAATTCATTGCCTAGGGCATCCCCATGCAAATCAAAAAGAGTACCTTGGTCTTTTCGTGGCTTGTGTGATCTGCTCAGTGTGTCAGATTTAATCATCCAGGTACTTGGCTTAAATCTCACATCAAAGACTGTTGGTTGATTCAATTGTGTTCTCCGCAGTGGGGGGTGGTTTGAATTCCATGAATTGTGGCGAAACAGAGATCTATGAAAACTGGTTGGCCTTCCATTGCTTTTAATATGCGTTGACCCAGCTTTTCAGGACATTTGATACCAATGGTTGTGAAAGCTTCTGATTGCTTTTGACATGCTGTATGAGGTTAATAATATGGCAAGTTTGGTCATCCTTTGAAATTCGTGTCTAGCTCAGTTGGTTCGAATTTCATCGGTGTGTGTTTGCGTACTTCCTGAATACTTGCTTTGCTGCTCGTGTTGTGGTTTCGACCTGTCTTGACTGACACCTGTTTTCTCATCTGGAGTCTGGCTTGGAGTCTGGAGCCAGATTTCGTGCACAGGCGGACATCATACTGTACTTTACAGATTTGGAGAAAAGTTGGACAACTTTTGGGTGGGTGCAACAAACCATACCTTTTGGAGATTTTGTTGATTTGAGGCACTTTGTTGACTACAGCAATAATATTGGCTGTACCTAAAGTATGTGGTTGTGTTGACCTGCCTCAATGGCCTGTGCCCATCTTCAAACAATACATCAATAGCATGGTCTGCCATTCTCGCCCACATGATGCTTTCTAAAACTTTTAATTTGTGTCGAGATAATGACTAGCAAAATCAGAGTCTCTTAAGATTTCTCTTTGGAAAAGTTACCCTCATGCCCTTTGCTGTGGCATCGTCTGACAAAGCAGTCAATAGGCCCTTTGAGTTGCTGTCCATATGACATGAGCTGGAGTGTTCCAATCCTGATGGCAAGCCTTACTTTGAGCTGATCTTTGAAAAATTTCCAAATTTTTTTGGAACTTTCTGATCGCCTGTGGAAAGACCGAATGTGTTAATTCTGCGAAGCCCCTCTTTGCTAATGGCAAGTAAGATTTTTGAGTTCTTTTCTCAGGATCATCTATTGCTTCATCTGTAAAATAGAACTGCAAATGATGCTTGAATAGTTGTAATTGAGTAAAGATCACATTGCATGCCCAATCTACAATGAGCTTTCTGCTATCCATGGTTCAGTACTAAAGGTGCTGGATGGCACTTTTAAACTTTGTGAGCCCGACTTTTTTTAGGCATGAATTAAAAGCAGTTCTTCAAGAACAAACTGTGTAGTTGGTATTTTTCTGAGATTGTTACTTTGCTTCATTTCCAGAAGGACTTGTTCTTGGTTTTCACCTCTCTGCAATGTACTGCGTCTCAGCTCAAAAGTGAACTGAACTGTTCATTTCATCTTTCAATTCAGGCAATCTTAGAAATTCCATTTAGGTTGAAGGAAGTTAGAGGTTAATGAAAATGTAATTAACTCTGTCTTCTGGCTGTTTAATGCCCTATCTACAGATCTGTACAGCTGTATGTAAACTGATACTGCTAATTTTCAAATTCTTTGAAGTCCAATGCTGTTATCCAGTTATTCTTCAACTCATTTTCCAAATATCTACAACGAATATTTTGAATTTTTGTCGTGATAGACAGCCACCAATACTAACCATGGTGTAGACATCGCCTCCTGCAGCATATCTTTACAAGGTGTAGCAATGCTTATGCTATAGTTAATAACATGTGAAACCAAGCATGGATAACATGGTGTTGAAAGATCTGACATATGTTTATTACAGCTGCCTACCATATGCAATTATTACATTCCTCAGACACCAAAATATCCGGGCAAACATTAAACTTTTCAGTAAAAACAGAGCAACATTCTTTCAATAGTGTGCCACACTTTAAGTGATCTGAGTTAAGACAGAGTATGATGTGGAGGTGCTGGTGTTGAAGTGAAGTGGACAAAGTCATTAGTCACACAACAACAAGTTATAGTCCAACAGGTTTATTTGAAATCACAAGCTTTTGAATGCACTGCTCCTTCATCAGGTGAAGTGCTCCTAAAGCTTGTGATTTCAAATAAACCTGTTGGACTGTATCCTGGTGTTGTGTGACTTCTGAAGATAGAGTATGGAATCTTTAGACCCTCAGGTCACTTGCTAAAGTGATGACATCATGAGCACATCTCTTAAAGGTATACTGACACACTGTGAGATAACAAGAACTGCAGATGCTAGAGTCAGAGACAACACAGTGTAGAGCAGGAGGAACACAGCAGACCAGGCAGCATCAGTGAACTAGGAAAGTTGACACTTCGGGTCGTGCCCCGAAATGTCAACTTTCCTACTGACACAGTGTCTCTTAACTGTATAAAAAGACATAACACAATAGATACAGGATTTTCTCCTAATCACTTCTGTATAAAATTATACAATGTATTATTCTGGATTCTGGCTGAGAAAACTGGAAAAGAATGAGCATTGACTTTTGTTGGGAGAGGAACACGGTTTTCAAACATTTGATCTCACAGCACTTAGTGCAATGGGGCCAATGTCATATTCACCCACTGTTGCAGATTTATTCCGGCAAATGGACAGAAAAGCTTTCTTTCAACAAGTCCTTTTTCTAACTGCCACAGACATCCAACTGCAGTCACAGGTTCCCCAGCAAAGTCAGAAGAGGCACCGAATTTTCACCAAAAGAATTTAAAATAAGATTAGTCCAGCGACTTTGTCAGGATCAGTGCCGTATCACTTGGGGATCAACTGACAAATCGAAATCTGAGTCCTGTGAACTCTCTGCTTCGAAATCTTACATTCTAATGTTGTGTGTAAAGTTCTACATTCTATAACTAAAATCTCAATTTGTTTTAATGTAAACATTTAAAAATCAATGTTATGAAATGAAAAGTAAATGAAGAATAAATTCAAACAGTTACACTTTCACATAAAAGATACCTACTGTATTCTGAACTTTAAACAGATTCTTTGGGGCTGGTTGGGCCTTACAAGTCTTCAGATAGCTTGCCCAGTTAAACTCCTCATCCTTATAGCCTGAAAAGGAAGTCAGAAAACTGTCAACAATGGCAAAGTTAAAACTGGGCAACTTGATTCCATCACAAGAGTTTATTTCAAATCATCACAAACCAAAATAGTGCAAATTTCCTCCATAAAAGTTCCAAATTTAAATAGAGTACGACTCAGCCAGTTTAGGATCTGACCAAACTAATTTTTATTCTTGCATAGAACAGCATAACACACTAAGTTGAATTTGGCTTTCTAACTTAACTTCAAAAAGCAAGACAATTTCCCACACGCAAGCAATTGCCGTAAGGCAGATGTCATGAAGACGAAGCTAGTACGGTTTTCAAATGTGATAGACGCACATTCTACATTGCACACTCTTATGGGATTTTCCGATAAATATTTATATTTGTCTCTAGTTAAGGTTTCAGACCTTTAGGAAGATGCAATTTGCGACTGGTCTTTTCACACCACCCCACAGGATGGATATCAGGTGAATCAATGTTCGTCCAGAAATCAAAACACTCCGAATATCCGTCGAAATGGAGCCTCAGCCTAATGCCACACACCTGACAGGAGGAAATCACCAAACTCAAGTTATTTTCAACTATACAGCATTGCAGCAACATTGTGTTAGGAGGCACCAATGTTTAATACATATCACCCATGATGTGGAGATGCCCATGTTGGACTGGGGTGGACAAGGTCAGAAATCACACAACACCAGGTTATAGTCCAACAGGTTTATTTAATATCACAAGCTTGCAGAGTGTGGTTCCTTTGTCAGGTGAAGCTTTTGATTTTAAATAAGCCTGTTGGACTATAACCTGGTGTCATGTGACTTTTAACTTTAGCAAATATTATGTTACGCATTTATTTTAGCAGAAGGAATCATATAGTCGTTTATGACTGTGAACTGCTCAGTCAGGAGCTTGCAGTGGCTATTTGCTATTACAGTGATATTTAAAATATTATCTACCATAAATATATTTTAAATATTGTAAACATTAAAATAAAACTGGCTAATAACTGAGGCAGATATTCCACTTATTAGGCTGGGAGTTGAATAATAAGCTGAGAAAATGGCATGGAGCTTGAATGAGAGAAAATCTGGAGGGGTGCAATACAGAGCTTTTCCCCACCTGATTTTCCTTCAAACACTCTACCAAATGATTAGCTAAATCCTTGTATGAAAATGCATATTAGAAACACACAGGTTCTTTTGGAAGGAGGCTGCCATTTGTCCATTAAGCCTATTGTTGCACAGATTTCATGTCAGATAGTGATTGGAGTTTACAGTGTTCGGCATCAGTTGGTCTTTTTACTGTCTTTTGTTTTTATGCGTAAATAACAAGCTTAAGAGCTGGAGTAGGCCATTTGGCCCATCATGCTTGCTCTGCCATTCAAAAAGATCATGGCTGATCTTTTCGTGGATCCATTTATCCGACAGCTCACCGTAACCCTTAATTCTTTTACTGTTCAGAAATCTACCTTTGCCTTAAAAACATTCAACAAGGAAGCCTCAACTACTTCACTGGGCAGGGAATTCCACAGATTCATAACCCTTTGGGTGAAAATGTTCATCCTCAATTCAGTCTAAATCTGCTTATTTTGCTGGTACGCCCCCTAGTTATACTTTCACCCACCAGTGGAAATAACCTTCCTGCTTTTATATTATCTATTCCCTTCATAATTTTTTATGCATTTCTGTAAGGTCCTCCATCATTTTTCTAAAGTCCAATGAGTATAGTCCCAGTCTACCTAATTTCTACTCATAAGCCAACCCTCGCAATCCCGGAATCAACCTCATGAACCTCCTCTGTACCCTGCTAAACCATGCCGTCTCATGGTCTCCCTGGGAGTCATGCTAGACAGATATAAACACATGAGTTATGAGTAGATGATCATTTGACCCTTTGAGCCTGCATCACCATTCATTACAAAAACTCATCTGATTTTAGCCTCAACTACACTCTCCTGTCTACCTCCAACACACTCTGAATCCCTGGTCAATCAAGAATCTTCCTAATCTAGACTTAAAAATATTCAATAACCCTGTCTCCACAGCTCTCTGTGGAAGAGAATTTCACAAACCAAGATGCTCTGAAATAAAAAAATCCCTCATCTCTGTTTTAAATGGGAGCACCCTATTTTTAAACTGTGTCCCCTAGTTCTAGTCTCTCCGATAAAGGGATATATCCTTTCAGTTTTGACCCTGTCAATTCGTCACAGCATCCTATCTGCTTCAATAAGATCACCTCCTGTTCTTGTCAACTCCAATAAGTACAGGCCCAGTCTGTCCAATTTTTCATCATAAGATAACCTCTACACTGTAGAAATCAGTTCAGTCTAGCTTCTCTGATTGCTTCTAATGCAAATATATCCTGAGTCAAGTAAGGAGATCGAATATGAAGAGGTCAACGGCAAGCCTAAGCACACAAGAAAAAAATCAATACAAACTCTGGATGCAGGAAATCTGAAGTAAAAACAGAAAATTCCAGAAAGAAAAATAAGTGGAAATTTTAGGTCCTTAGCCCTTCATCACAGACCTGAAACTGAACTCTTTTTCCCCCTCAACAGATACAGCCTAACCTGAATTTTTCCAACATTTTCTGTTTTTCTTACAGAGATCCCTATTTAAAAATCAATGCAAATACAGCTGCTGTTATAGTTAACCACAAATTACTCATGCTCATGAAATCTTACCTCTGCCACTGACAACACACAGAACATGGAGGGGTGCCGTGGGTCGATGCCTTCCAATCTCATGCCTACTTTAAATCCATTTTTAATCTGAGGAACTAACTGACACTGTGAAGAGAAAAAAAATGGAACATAAATGCTTCCTCTCCATAACTGTCTCCAAACCAGAACAAAGGTTCAACAATGCTCCAAGCTGACTCTCTGCTGCCAATAAAACAATTTTATCCCAGTCTTGAACCTCTGGCACTAACTGTTCAATGTCAGATATTTTGCACCAATAACATCAAAGCCATCACAATTCTTCTGCCTCCCCTACACATCAACTGAAATTGAGGCTATCCACTTTGGGAAGAAACAGATGTGCAGAGTTCATAAAGTCCTAGAGTCTCCACCATGTGGAAACAGGCCATTTAGCCCAACACATCCACACCGACTCTCTGATAGGCATCCCACCCAGACTCATCACACCACCTTATCCCTGTAATTCCCATGGCTAATGCACCTAAACTACACAACCTTGAACACTATGGGCAATTTAAGCATGGCCAATCAAACTAACCTGCACATCTGAGATAACAAGGTGTAGAGCTGGATGAACACAGCAGGCCAAGCAGCATCAGCGGAGCAAGAAGGCTGACGTTTCGGGCCTAGGCCCTTCTTCAGAAAATGCACATCTTTTGGACTGTGGGAGGAAACTAGAGCACCCAACAGAAATCCACGCAGACACAGGGAGAACGTGCATACTCTACGCAGACAGTTACCCGAGGGTGGAATCAAACCTGGGACCCTAGCACTGTTAGGCAACAGTGCTAACCACTGAGCCACCGTGCCGCTCACAACCTTCCTGAAATGGTGAGAGGTTGGAGAGTCCAAATGTGCAAAGGAATGTGGGTGCCCTTGTCAATTAATCACTGAAAGTAGGTGCAGCAAGCAATGAGGAAAGCTCATGGAACATCAACCTTTATTGCAACAGGATTTGAATACAGGAATAGTAAAGTCTTGCTTCAATTTAATGGAGAATTGGTTAGGCTGCACCTGGAGTACTATGTGGAGTTCTTGGTCTCAGCAAAAATGTTATTGTCATTGGGGGAGTCGAATGAAGATTTGACAGGATTGTTCTACAAAGGGAGATTAGGAAAATTGGGCTTACATTCTCCTGAGTTTTGAAGAATCTCATTGATCACATTGGAAGTTACAATAGGTTTAAAGGGATAGCCATGACATTTTGCAGGTAAGATAGTCACTCTCTTTGGGGAGTCTAAGGCTAAGGCGCACAATTGAAAAATTAAGGAGGTGGGGTGCAGCTTCCACTTGGATCTGAGATGAGGAGAAATGTATTTACTCAGATGATTCTGAACCTTTGGAATTCTCTACCACAGAGGGCTGTGGAGGCTCAGTCTTTGGGTATGTTTAAGCGGGAGAGTGATGGATTTCTGATTAACTGCGGCATACAGGGTTATGAGGATAAGGTGAGTAAAAGGTTTTGGAGTATTGATCAGCCATGATGGCATTGAATGTTGGAGTAGGCTCAATGGACTGAATAGCCTCTCCTGATGCTACGTTCCTATGCAATTGGATACGGCATTTGAAATTCACATCCTGTTTGTGAATTGCTGCTTTGACAACATGGCTTTGGTTGCAGATGCAGACATCCTGAACCTTATTATTACCTCCCCATCTGGCTGCACATTCCACTGTCTGCCCAGTCCAAACTAGTCATGATTGCCAAATTATTCCATTATTGCGAGCAAACTTCAAATCGTTTTCCATCTTTTTTAACAATTTGCAGTGGTTAGGTTCTCATATCAGCTTTTCAAATATTATAATAATACAGGCTATTACACTTCACAACATCACATTAACAGTCATGCAGACTTAAAAGGCTTCTTCCATGTGGAGATAACCAATAAGTAACTTAAGTCACATTGTATTATCTCAAATATGTGAAATGGGAATAAGGAATGCATAGTGACAGATTGTTCAGGAAGCAACATTCTCCATTCTGCATTTGTAGCATTTGAGGGTAGTTGCAGAACAGAAAATATATCCACATATGAAAGAGGGAGCAGAAGGGTATTTCAAAGTTTTCGTGGTCACATTTGATACATATTGAATTTTATTCTGTGGGCTTTCATGATAATTTCATAAGCTGAAATGTGGATAAAATTGCATATTCTCCATTGTACTTGTCAAACTAATAGAAAAATGGAACATAATACATCAATTTAAAAATGCAAAGTGTGACATTCATGTTCAAGTCAATTAAAACATTCACCAGATTTAATTCTCCCTCTTGTATTATGCCGCATAGAATCTAGTTACTATCTCAAGAACATGACTATGCCAAAAAACCCTTTGATTTATGTGTTCATTAGAAAATATAATGTATATGCATTTGTCCTGTCCAACTCCCTGTTATCAGGACTTTCTGCGCAATGTTTCTATGCCAACACTTAATACTGAAACTGCTGAAGTAAATTAAAATTTCACATCCTGAGGCAACAACTGGCTAGTATGGTGTGATTTCAGACACTGCTAAGTAGGTGGCACTGTGGAGTGACTTCCTGGAAGGCTTTATACTGTTTGCACTTTGAAAATTCTAACAAAATCATCAACCACAAGCAATTTGTCAATGCAATATTTTTGAGGATAAGGGGAAATAGTGATTATTTTACTGAATTAGCCATCCTAATAGCCGGACTAACGACCCAAAAGATACCAATTTAAATCCCAACATAGCAATTGAATTTAAATTCAATTACTGAAATAAATCTGGAATTTTCCAAAAAAAACTAACATTAGTAATTAAACCATAAGATTCCAGACTAGTGAGACAATGCTGTAACAGTGTGGTCACTGGATTAGTGACCCAGAGATCCAGGTAATGCTCTATTCTGTGGACATGGGTACAAATCCCATCCTGGCAGATGGTGAAATATGAATCAATGAAAATTTGGAATTAAAAGCTGCCCAATGGTGACCTTATAGCCGCTAGTGATTGTTGCAAGAACCTACTTAGATCACTAATGAAATTTCAGCAACAAAATGTGGCATACCTGGTCTGACCCACGTGTGACTCCAGACCCACAACAATATGGTGTACTCCTAAGATGCCTCTGAAACGGCCCAAGCAAGCCAACCCATCAAGAGGCAATCAGGGAAAGGCAGTAAATGCTGGCCCAGTCAGCGATGCCCACATCCCATGACTGAATTTTTAAAAAGGCATTTGATTCACTGATTTTCTTTAGGGAAGTAAATCTACAATCCTTTACTGACTGTGGCTAATTTGTGACTCCAGATCCACAGCAACATGGTTGACTCTTAACTGCCCACTGAAACGTCAAAGGAAGCCACTCAGTTATAGTCAAGGAAGCATGGAAACATAGAAGATAGGGGCAGGAGGAGGCCATTCAGCCCTTCGAGCCTGTTCCACCATTCATCACTATCATGGCTGATTGTCCAACTCAATAGCCTAATCCTCCTTTCTCCCTGTAACCTTTGATCCATTCGAGCTAAGTGCTAGATCTAGCTGCCTCTTGAACACATTCAATGTTTTGGCATCAACTACTTCCTGTGGTAATGAATTCCACAGGCTCACCACTCTCTGGATGAAGAAATGTCTCCTCATCTCTGTCTTAAATGGTCTGTCCCGAACCCTCAGACTGTGACCCCTCGTTCTGGACACACCCACCATCGGGAACATCCTCCCTGCATCTACCCTGTCCTGTCCTGTTAGAATTTCCTAAGTCTCTGAGATTCTCCTCTCATTAGTCCAAACTCTAGCGAAAACAATCCCAAACTAGTCAATCTCTCCTCATACGTCAGATGCCCATCCCTGGAATCAGCCTGGTAAATCTTCACTGTACTCCCTTGAGAGCAAAAGTATCCTTCCTCAGAAAAGGAGACCAAAATTGCACACCATTTTCCAGGTGTGGTCTCATCAAGGACAAGTACAACTGCAACAACGCATCACTGCTCCTGTACTCAAAACCTCTCACAATGAAGGCCAACATACTATTTGCCTTCTTTACCGCCTGCTGCACCTGCATGCTTACCTTCAGCGATTGGTACACAAGGACTCTCAGGTCCTGCTGCACACTCCCCTCTCCCAATTTACAGCCATTCAGGTAGTAATCTGCCTTTTTGTTTTTGCTTCTGAAGTGAATAACCTCACATTTATGCAAATTATACTGCATCTGCCATTGATTTGCCCACTCACCCAACCTGTCCAGATCATGCTGAACGATCTCTGCATCCCCGTCACAGTTCACCCTCCCACCCAACTAGGTATCATTTGCAAACTTGGAGATGTTACATTTTGTTCCCTCAGCCCGAGACCTTCGTAAAGGCAAATGGGGATTTTGCCAGTGATACTGGTTAAAAGAAAATGAGTCACTTCTCATGGGGTCAATGTTTTGAAGTCAAGACCAAGTATTCCCATTTTTGAACAGATACTGGAGTCACGATTGAATGTACATGTTGATCATAACAAAATAGCTGAGTTAAAAGCATTAACATCTATTGAGTGATGTGACACATAACTACTGAAGATAGGGTTCAAGGAGTTTTGTATTCCTAGTCTTAACACTTTCAGAAGAAGTCTTAGCGAAAAAGCAGAGGGAGTGACATTGACTAACAATGATTTTGTCACTGTGCTTGGACATAAAAATGTTATAGGGACTGAAAAAATATAAACTCCATCTAGACTGAATTATGCTAAAAAAAAGAAATGCTACAATTCTGGGTGCACATTACAAGACATCAAACTGTGACTGAAACACAGAGAGATAGACAGTGCAGAGAAATATTCAAGAAAAACAAGGTAATACACATTTAGCAACTGAAATAAACCCAAAGCAGTCTGGGATTAAATGAACTCTGTAGGAAAAATGGGAACAAACATTAGCACATTCTGGATCAGTATGTTTCTGGAAAACAACTTGCTTTGATTTAGGGCTAGGAAACTCAAACAGGCAAATAACTGATCTGACACCGAGACAGAAATAATAGCACCAGTGACAACAACATTGTCTTTAGCGAGACCTGAAATAGTTTGGGCCTCTCAGTGGAAGCTTCAGTCATGCAAGCTGGTTGGTCCACTGATTTCA